TCTCATGATGAAACCTATTGGCCATTAAACCACCACCTTTCCACTCTCCCGGCAGACGCTCTTAGCTCCTAATCGGTCATCTTCCATAGTTTAGATGACTCTTTGTGTCAGTTTTGTAAACAACATTGATATTTTATCATCAAATAAATCATCTTATGTTCAGATACAAAAATACACACAAAAATCAATTCAGCCGTAGACAGGTCTTCGACAAGGTTGCTGACAGAGTTCCCATGGCAATCACAACAGCCTTGTCATGAATACACAGAAATGTTTACACTAATACTGTGCTATATATAACCCCAGCATAAAATGGCTCCACTATATCCTGTGTATATATGTAAAGACATAATAACCAATACATAAAATAAATAAAAAAACAAAATGGTCCCTTTGAATATGATTATCTATGCATGAATCTAAAGTATTAATATGTAATTAGTTTTACACAAATACTGTAAAAATAAAACGTAAGTGTTCAACAAGGTAAACAACACATGCCAGAATCATGGTAATGATTTTGAATACTGACAAAATATTTATAATTTTCACCAGATATCCTATAACTTCATCTTGACTAGATGCTATGATTGATAAGCGATGTTCCTTTGAAAATACATTCCCATGCTATAAAATATGCCAGCACTAAAATATGTTGTTTACCTAGGAACTAACAGCCTCTAATATATCATGCATATCTTGGAACTACAAAGTCCTACAACATAACGCTTACCTAGACACAATAACCTTCTTATATATGACCCTTTCCTAGTAACTTATAACCTCCACTATATCATGCATACCTTGGACCTACAAGTCCCATTATATGACGCTAACCTTGACAATATAACCTTCTTATATATGACACTCATCTAGTAACGTATAACATATCATGCATACCTTAGACCTATACAGTTCTACTATATAATGCTAACCTAGGCACTATAACCATGTTATGCGGGAAACTTACCTAGGAGCTTATAACCTTTAATATATCATGCATACCTTGGACCTATACAGTTCTAATATATAACGCTTACCAAGGCACTATAAACTTTTAATATATAACACTTACCTAGTAACTTATAACCTCTAATATATCATGCATACCTTGGATCTATACAGCTCTACTCTATAAAGCTAATCGAGGCTTAATAAACTTCTAATATACCGGTAACAAAACTTACTTGGGAACTTATCATATATGTGATGCTCATTTAGGATGTAAAAAGACATCAATTTATAATGCTTGCCTAAGAACCATAAACCTCTCATATATCTAGCTTACTGAGGTGTATAAATGACTAGTACAAGATGCTTACTTAGAGCATTCAACCTCATATATATGATGCCAACTGAGAATCTTTAAAGCTCTAATGTATTCATGATCACCTAGGACTCAAAATGCCCTCCTATGTGATGTCTTCCTAGAACACAGAAAGACCTTAACTATGATGCAATCCCAGGACATTAAAACCACTATTGGGTATTCAGCAATAGCATTTGATGGTCAACATTGCATCAAGCATTCTCAGCATACTTGTGTACCACCAAGATGTCAGTACATATATTCTATATCACATTACTAATAAAGTTTATCCTAAAGAACCTTTCTGCATGGTTTTGAAAAAGAATGTACTAATTATTAAGTGTACTAATTATATATCTCAATAATGTTCTTCCAAACAGGTTTATGCATAATATTTTAAACCAGCTACTTCTAATACCAACAGTAGCAGTTTTCACATCCATAATGCATTAAGAATGCCTTAACCCTAAGTGCCAATATATGTTTTAAATACCCCTTAGAAGTCATCCCCAGAAGATTAAATGGTTGGATCCTTGATGGATTTCTTCACTCCAGTACATAAGGTTACTGAAGGACTGCCAGAACTCATAAATCATACACTAAACTACGTATATAAAGAATAGTTATAACAAACTGTTTTTTGGTCCTGGCCATTTGCTGTATATATGCTGTATATATGCTTATAACGAACTACGGTTACAACAAACTAAAATTAGTGGTCCCTTTGAGTTCGTTATAACCATTGTTTTCTGTACTTGTAAATTGCTATTTGCATCTGGGCCAATGGCCTTCATACTGAATAAAGTATTGATTGATTAAACTCGATACTGCCAAGATTGAATCACATTCGTGAACAATACTGTCTCCATTATTAGTGTAGATGTAAGATGAGAATGAAAAAACATGAACAACAAATGGTAATGTATTGTTTTTGGGATAGTTAAATACATGTATAGACTGCAGTGGTTTTCAGGAAAATAAATAGACCAATACAATACAAAATTGGATTTCACATGACTAGACACTGGTTTTAGTTTAAAGCAAACTTAAAAGGTTATATGTTGTTAGTACAACATGATGGATATTTTATAGATACACACATTAAATATGTTAAAAAAAACATAAATTAGTCTTCCATTTGTCACATGTATATGGCAAGTTACCAAAAAGGTGCAAGTATAAATCCACAGAGAAAAGAATATTGGTATTAATCCAATCTCAGTAAAAACAGATCTTTTCTTACACCTCTGTGTGTGAAGATCTGAGGACACCTCCATAGCCAATCAGGGTCAAGGCTTCTAATTTCTTGGTGAGCGAGCATAGCTTTCAGACCAGTATATCTGACTTCTGTATCTCGAAAATGATTAATTCAGGGAGTTCCAAATGCAAGCAAATAAAGCTGCACTATGACCTATAGTGTTGTAGACAGTTTCTGAGTGCCACGACATCTACATGCAAACGGTGTACTACTGACGGTATGTTTGTGTTCTGGTGGTTTTCTTTTGCTAATATTGAAATTATGTAATCAACATTGAAAAAAAATGAAGCCAAACCATTTTAAAAAGCCAACATCTGATTGACTAAAGAAAACACACACACACACACATCCTTCAACTACATTGGGCGGTCAGAGTTCACTCAGTGTTCATTTGATGTGACTTTCCATGGAAGTGTCGTCATATCTTGATGCAGGGAGGTATAGTATTGGAGTGAAAGGTTAGATTTTTTTAAGATTGGGCATTTATCAGAGATGAAATACTTAGTGTCATGGTCAAACAGATATAAATAATAATGTGTGTTAGTATGTACAAGATATATGTTCAGGAAATATATTCTAATCACAAAAATGTTTCCATATTACGTAACAATAACCAGTCTAAATATGTACCAAAATAGGTTGGAAATGGAAACATTGCTTTTCTGAGTCTGAAATTGATATGTGTAGAAGGCATAACTACCGACAGAAAAGTCTATAATAAGAGAGTATTGATGGCAATGAACATGATCACAATCAACCATTCCAACACTCTGTTGAGGACCAGGAACCATTCTTCAGCCATAAATACTCCTGGGCCCACTTGCACAAAGCAATCTTAGCGCTAAGATGATCGTAACTCCCATACTTTAACATAGGCTTACAATAGTCTTAGCGCTAAGATCGCTTTGTGCAAGTGGGCCCTGTACAAGCCGCAATGTTTCTCATTTTTAAGACAAAGTTATATTTCTTTGCAAATCAGCCTTTGGGAGATTTCTTAAAATCAGGGCAATATATGAATACCATTTCTGTTGTCATAGCAACAAGATTAATATGGAAGGAAGGTGACACTTTGGTTAAACCGACAACAGTGGGTATAGTGATGACAACTGATGATCAAGTGATGATCAAGGAACGTAGTGTAGGGAACAAAATGTGGATTTGAACCCAGGAAAGAGGTGTACCAGGATAGCTAACAGGTGCAAACTCTGCACAGCCAATTGCTGAACCCTAGACAACTGGGACATTTGTGCACTACATATTTTTCTAGAAGGTTAAACCACCTACTTCAGTGAAGCATTCAGGCCAAACTTAACACTGGGTTCTTTTTGCGGTGAGGATTTACGGCATGCAAATTACACATAGCAACACATAGTAACAGCAGTAATTATCTCTGTCAAACCCAACATCCCACACAACCATGACGTCCCAAGTCAGTGACCAATAAAGGTAGTATAAACAATGGAATCCATCATAACAACAACACAACAAGGTTCACCTGAACTTTAAACCCAGAGTCCCAAAAGGTAAATCGGGAAGAAAGTAGTATTTTGTCCACAACTGAGATGTTTTGTTTAGGTTCTTATTTTCTTAAAGTCAGTATTATTTGAACCATGTTAACATAATAATTGTGTTAAACTAGAAGTTAAAGATTTTTCTCTTTCTTGTTCCTGTCATTGGTAAAATACAACTTGCTATTGCAAACCTAAAACAGAGTAATAATTATAACAATCTGAAACTTTTAATATTACTTTGGAATTATTACCAGTATTTTCTTTAGACCTGGACCGAGTATCAGCCTCTGGGAACAACCAGATAAATCCCTGTACCATCAATGCTAACAAAATATCTTCAAGAATGAAAATAAGAGAACTATTTATAACACTGAAGGCAGACTTTACTTACGGATTTCAACTTCTTTATTATTTCAATGCAACATTTTGGTACAGATGCTAGTACCTTAATAAGGAAACCTCGCATTGACAGAATATAGAAGTTGGAATCTACAAGAAAACTACATCTTCACCAATCTCATTAAAATCAGATCTTAGTTCTCGCTACCGCCAAACAAAGATCTGAGGACATCCCATTAAGGGTCACGTCAGGACGACCTTTCATCCAACCAATCAGAGCGTCGCTTACCAGATCATGAAAGTGACAGTCGGAATGTGTTTTCTAATCATGCAACCACGAAATATTTAACACGGTGTATCCCGAATGACAGTTACAGGTTTTATGATTATATCCATACAATCTAGGCCATCTATAAGCCATTCCAGAATATTCTTCTTATCAGTTTTAATTTTTTTAATCAAGAATATGTCAAAATATGTTTCGAAGCGTAGACGCCAGTTTGAAACTGGTGTCGTAAAGCTCAAGAAAGCTGCCTTCTGATCGGCTAAGGTTGATTTCTTGTCAGTCATTTCATTGGTTGGTCAAAATTTGCGAAAGGTTGTTCTGAAGTGACCCGTAATGAGATGTCCTCAAATCTTTGTTTAGCGGTAGCGAAAACTAAGATCTGAATTTAATGAGATTGCATCTTCACTGATACTACAGCTTCTTAAATGCCACTTAAAGATATTATTCATAACACTATACACTGTCAACCCATGCACACAATAGACACCTCCAGTTTGTATTCATTCCAAGGAAACAATTGTGATCTGAAATGTTAATGCAAAACGCATCAAAAGTTGAGTCATAATAGACACCAACTCACATACATGTAAACAAATGTTGATTTTTAAAGCTGCATAAAAGGCAGCAAAATACACAATATGAAACGTCCTTACACGTATAACCTCACATACAAAAATATGTATACCTTCAGTCAGGGGCTTTCTACAACAGAATAATTCCTGGGACTCAAGTAGGCTCAAATAGGCCTAAATAGGCTCTAACAGATAAATATTAATTGGTATACATTTACAAGAGGCAGGTGTAAAGTCTTGATAAATACTATCTGTCTAGGACAGTTGAAAGAAACGCTGTACTGAGACAGTTGAAAGAAACAATGGACTGAGACAGTAGATAGGTTAATACAACATACATAGTCTAAAGTAATCTGCTAAGAACATTAATATATAGTTGTTTTGTATGGCGAAAGAAATTCTCTTTCTCTATGACTTAGTGAGTGAATTGGGTTTAAATTCTCTTCAAACATACAGCATGTCATCGTAATTCGCGAGGAAGCCTAAAGTGGTGCAGGTCATTGACGTTTACCACTTCGGTGTAACCCACACGCCTAAGTATACTGCTGACATTTATCTGTAAATAACAATGAAAAGGCAAGTACACTATCATGACAAAGCCTTTTTTGTGCTGACACAGCACTTATTTTCTGATGACATGGCATTTTTTAGATGATAAACAGCTATAATAAACTTTGTCCAACCCAATATGACCTGGGCCTTGTCCATAAAGTGATCTTAGCACTACGACCGAAGCTACTCCCAAAGTTAAACTTACGCTGATCGTAGCGTTAAGATCACGTCACGAGGCGTATCCCTGGTGGATACATGTACATTGTAGAGAAGACAGAGAATACTCCTAACAAGCAACTGGGAGGTTATAACAAAACTCTTTCACCAAAGCTGGCATTGAATTCAAAACAGAAGTCCATTTATAACCCATTTCATGACCTTCTGTCATGCACGTAAACAACTATTTTTGTTTACATCAATATATGTAATATTACATTTTCCATAGATTCACATCTAAATGAAAACATGATTTAATACTTGTGGATGAGGAAAATATTTTCTCTAGTGGTCTCAAAGGGACCAACCATTTCATATTCTGGAGGAGCCTCTGAATTCTTATCAAATAATAATTTGTTCCAGACAATAATTTGTCCCCAGGCTTTACCACCCAAAATAGATCCATGCTGATGTCCTGAAAAAAAAGAATTAACTTTTTCAGCTCCCCTTTTCAAAGAAAATAATTGAGTCTTCCGAAGCAGTGACCACACAAATAGCTTGTTGCTAACAAAGGCAGCGCTCCCAAAATATTAAATGGTGTGTCCCTATTAAAAATCCCTATGAAAATTTGACAAATAAAATTTGAATTTTCACTTAATTTAAGTGCATGGTATATAATCTATTATACATTTGAATTAAAAAAAAATGATTCTCAGGCAATGACTAAAGAATGATTAGTGTTTACAGTAAGGTGACCTAATTAGCAAATGTGTGTTAATTAGAGTAAAAAGGTTTATTTATGTGGGTGCTTTTGCCACTGCCTGAGAACCAAAATAATGTTTAGTAGCTAGATGTTCAGCATCTTCTTGTAGCTTTCCTTGAGAAAACCAACCTTTTGGATAATATTAAAGAAACCCAAGGATTATCAATTTCTGAACTATGGTATGTCATGTGATAACTCTTTAAAACATATTCTACAACCCAAACCTTTCCCCCTTATTGCTATGAAAGTAGGAGAACTATAGAGAGAGAAGAAAACAGACAGCATGTTGAACCTACCCTGGTCTACACAGACAATGACAGGTGCCAATAATGATGACAGGTGCCATTGTCACTCAGGATCTTCACATACAATGACAGATGCCAATAATGATGACAGGTACCATTGTCACTCAGGATCTTCATGGACAATGACAGGTGCCATTGTCACCTAGGATCTTCATGGACAATGACAGGTGCCAATAATGATGACAGGTGCCATTGTCACTTAGGATCTTCACAGACAATGACAGGTGCCAGTATTGATGACAGGTACCATTGTCACTCAGGATCTTCATGGACAATGACAGGTGCCAATAATGATGACAGGTGCCATTGTCACTCAGGATCTTCATGGACAATGACAGGTGCCAATAATGACGACAGGTGCCATTGTCACTTAGGATCTTCATGGACAATGACAGGTGCCAATAATGATGACAGGTGCCATTGTCACTCAGGATCTCCATGGACAATGACAGGTGCCAGTATTGATGACAGGTGCCATTGTCACTCAGGATCTTCATGGACAATGACAGGTGCCAATAATGATGACAGGTGCCATTGTCACTCAGGATCTTCATGGACAATGACAGGTGCCAATAATGATGACAGGTGCCATTGTCACTTAGGATCTTCACAGACAATGACAGGTGCCAATAATGATGACAGGTGTCATTGTCACTTAGGATCTTCAGACAACAGCATATGCCAACAAAAGCAGATCAGATCAGATCTTGATCAGTAAAATGTAAAACATCACTATTGAAATCAAGACCCGCCAAGAAGTGAGTATTCAACCTTTAACATGCCCTAAATATTAGGTTCTGCTAAAATTTGCTTCATATTTTCTCTTCTTGGAATTGGTCATTGATCTTATATGTCATCAGCAGATGCCTGTTGTCTGTGGTTTAGACCAGGCCAGTGTCTGTAAACAGTAAACAAGGCAACTGTCCATATTTTATAGACAACGCATACCAGTTTACAAGATGTTGGTGATATTGTCCCTCAGATTTACCCTTGGTCCCAGTCATTGATATAATACAACACTCTGACTACAACTAAAGCTAAAAATCTTCCATTCGTATATCTTCCTCGTTTATGTCTTCTTCCTCATCAAGAGACTCCTGGGAAATACCGGCATTGATGGGCTTGATGGCGGCAGGGTCAAGACGGGGCAAATTACTCATCATCTGCTCAGCGTTGAGCCAAGGTTTGAAGTGAGGGTTGTTCTTGCTCTTCCAGTCTTTATATTTCTTACAAGCTTTGTAGATCCGGCTCACAACCTGGGAAAGAAAAAGGCAATGCTGCTTGGTTAGGGAATGTCATTTATTACAGGATGGGGGTTGGGGTAGGGGTAGGGGTGGTGTCAGAGGAAATCAGGGGAGGGTCACCATAAAATATGACAGTTGCTAGGGGAGGGTTGTGAAAAGTAATGCACATATTTTGGGAGGGTTATGAAAATTAGTACAAAGGCATGTTTGGGGGGGGGGTTCTTCCAAAATGTGACAAGTTGACAAGAAGGTCATTATTTTCAGTACATTAGGGAATCACAAACCTTGGCCACCCCCTAGACCATATTAATTGACCAGTCTGTTGGCCATTCATATTCCATTTATTTATTTCGAATATAATTTCTTTTCTAGAAGTGAGTGAGTGAGTGAGTGAAGGAGTATCGTTTTATCCCGCTTTTAGCAATATTCCAGCAATATTCAAGCGGGGGACACCAGAAATGGGCTTCACTCATTGTACCCATGTCGGGAATCGAACCCTGGTCTTCGGTGTGATGAGCGATCGCTTTTCTTCTCTAGGAAGTTTATGAAAATGTTAAATGACATAAAGAATAACATCATGCAAACAAACAAATAACAAACATGTTGTTTCCATTCTCATTCTACATCCATGCATAAAACTACTAAAACATGTAACAGGAATAAGTTTACAGCAGCACAAATAAATTATGATGCATCACACCAACCATGACCAATAGGTGTTTACAGAACTGAACATTATTGTCCATAACAATGTAGTAACTAAAAACAGAAATATTTCAAATTTGAAAGCACAGAAAATATCAATAATGTACCAATTTTGATGGCTATGATGTTCATTAAATGCTTTGTTTTCATATAACATATATTATGCTTCAGTTGAAATGATTCCAACTGCCTCCGACGACCTCGCCCTAAAGGCATTGAATTACCTATAAATGGCTGTGTACGGTTAATGGGAACAATAGACACCACCCACCTTTGGGGCCAGCATGTGTGTCAGCTTGTTCACAGCCCAGGATGGCAGCTTGCCTGAAACAGAAGCAGCACTGTGCAGATGGAGGGGAAATGGGGTTTAACATCGCATATATTATGTTGTGTGTGGCGTGGTGTGGCGTGGTGTGGCGTGGTGTGGTGTGGCGTGGCGTGGTGTGGCGTGGCGTGGCGTGGCGTGGCGTGGCATGGTGTGGCCTGGTTTGGCGTGGCGTGGCGTGGTGCGGCCTGGTGCGTCATGGTGTGTGTAGGTGTGTATCTCATAAATCTGAACTACTTCCGACTTTCTAAGACTGCAGGTATTCTGCATATTTGTTGTTTGTTTGTTGCAACATCTGCTCATGCACAGATGTTTGAAACAACCCAGCATTTGACAGTTTTAAGATAGGTCGGGTCACCAACTAAGACTGAACAAGTTAAAGTGTTGTTACAAGAGTTAGCAGAACCCAATGAGCGTAAAAAAGTAGTGTTATGAGCACCACGACTGCTTTTGCTGTACTGGACATTTTCATCCTGTGGGTGAGCAGTGTTTTTTGGAAATTCCAAGATTACCCTAACGTAAGATATCGTCATACACAGGTCATGACTGCCACAACAGCTTGATCAACTTGTGTAAACAAACTGACCACATCTGACGAGGTACTTGGTAAGAAGCACTCATATTTTTCACATCAATTACATGATTTACAGTTTTCAACACTGTTCTGTAGCAACTACATAACAGGGATTTTTCTTCCTAGTTTGGTTCGGCATGAATATTCACTGGAGCATCGTTCAATGCTAGTGATGACATTAATGGTTACTGCACTTGAGATCAGGTGATGGGAGTTTTCAACTGATACAACTGGTATCTATTTCCCTGTGATAACATTATTGTCTGTCTATCTACAACAACTGTCTGACCTAGCAACAATGTCTGGCCTGAATGCTGATACCTTTAGTCCTGTGACTTTGACATGAGCATGTTGAGGTCAAGGGTTAAAGGGTGACTATAGACATGATCCACCTACACAATGTTTATTCACTATCAGATGGCCATATAAACCAGAGTGAGTGAGTGAGTGAGTGAGTGAGTGAGTGAGTGAGTGAGTGAGTGAGTGAGTGAGTGAGTGAGTGAGTGAGTGAGTGGTTCTACAGTCTACACCGCTTTGAAAAGTGTATCAGCTAGATAGGGAAGAAGTCTGAAATGACACATGTGTTATATCGTTACCATACCCCAGTATATGTCAGTGAAACCCATGATCACTGGCATGGTGCTGACAAACCCAGAAACATAATCAGGATGGGCCGGGATTTGAACCCACAATGATAGGATTTGTCACACAGCTTTTCAGTCAACTGGACCACCTGTGCCTCTACCTTAAATATGACCATCTGATCCATCAATTGTAATCCCCACTAGGGCACAGAGAATGACTGATTATGGAGAGTTAGTTGAGCTCAACACAGCTTCGATCTTAAGATTTCCTAAATGTGTGAGCAAAGCCTAACGGATGCCTGTCGATGACATTGATGAAACCCAACAAGAACAATATGGTGACTAAGAGCCCGATTAGAGACTAACGCCACACCTAAGGGACACAAGTCTGCAATGACAAAACAGACAAAATCGGTCAGACAAAATGGACGATGGGTCACAAATTGTTTTTTAATACAATCGAACCTTGTTACCTCGAACATACCAATAACTCGAACCTATTCTCCAGTCCCAACTTCCTTACTATATTATGTTCATGCCTCTTTATCTCCAATGTCGGGATATGTCGAAGTTACAACATGGTCCTGCTTGGTTCGAGATAACAGGGTTTCACTGTATAACCTTAAATTAGTAAAAAGGGTGAAAGAATTGGTGAAAAGTGCTAGTGAATATAACATGGATCAGATTAAGAAATTACCGGTAAGCATAGTAAGGTATCATCCATTTAGACGACTAGTTTCTTCAGAAATATGCCACAAAATGAATAGTTTGTTAGCAGAGGTGAAAATACCTAAACGTTAATTTTTTGTGTGTTATTAGTGAAAATGAATAGATTGTTTGATGGTGCTCAGTAAATAAATATTTTGTTGGATACAGCTGGGCAAAAATTAGATGGTTCTCAAAAGTAATCCCCTCACACTCCCCCAATACAAATCAAAAGGACACTCCCTTATACATTATTGATTCATTTGGCCTTGGCCTTTGACCTTTGACTCACCTTTAGGATCTGACTGGGAGATGTAGGTCAGCTGACATCTGTCGTTATCCAGCTTACGAATCATGTAACCCGTGAAATATGAAATACCTCGGATGAAACCTTTTCTTGGTGGGCATTTCTGTAATGGAATTGTGAAATATATTAATAAGCATGATTGATAAGTCATAAGTTATTTCCAAATTACAAAAAATATGGAAACATGAGCGCATGTTTTGAAAGCACAATTGTCATGTTTCTATATGTTTATCATGAATTCTGTATTATTTGACTAAAAGTTTACGTGTGAAGCAAGAAATAATGAGGACTAGTTGCTGTTGGTAATAACTCTGCACTTGTTGTATCAAAGTATCAATGCCTATAGAACATTTGGCCTGAAATTAGCCACATCATAGTTTGTGCCAGAAAAATGAAGAAGATTAAACACATGTTAAAATCACAATTATATCTATAAAATAAATCAGGATAGTTTCTACAGTGATTTTTCATAAAAGTATTATTTGGAAAACCAAATCACAGACATGATAGATCAGCGCTTACACTGGGAAACAGTACTACAACGACATATTTTCTATATGGAAAATCGAAATATCAATATATATTACCGGTATTCATCTAGCCATCATAATACCCAAGGCAACCTTGCCAGATGGATCAGCTAGGTTTATAATGTACCATTCATAAATTACTTTAATATGAAAACAGTCCAATATGAAAGGATATGAAATAAGAGTTCACTCCATAGAGATGATAAAAAAGCCATTTCATCAATAAAATGTCTGGCAACCGATACTGCACGTCATGCATGACAGTCCCGGGACTGGTTTTATAGACAGCTGGTGATGTAGCTGGTGATAAACATGATATAGCTCGTAACTCCCTTCTATGCATTAACATACTCATAGTCACCTTTCCTATATTAACCTGACTGTTGTAGTTACTACCTGTCTGTATCTTTCCTCTCACAAGCGTTTATTGACAAATGCTCATGTTTGTCTATCAATTAGGGCTTTTATGTTTTTAGCAGTTGGTTGACAAGACTGATCGACATAAAAAACGGAAAAGAGGACAAAAAGGTTTGGTGTCTGCTGTTTCACAGTTAGATGACCCAGAAAGTGTCAGTGAAAAAATCAAAGCCGTTTGGAGAATAAAACTACTTTCAATAACAGACTAATCATTGCTGATAGATCCTGAAACTACTTTAGAACATTCAAACAAAAGCTGATTAAAGCATCAGTTTATGTTCATCTTGACGTTTGCTTCAAGTATTTGTGCGTGTATACCGGAATCTGACCACCAACACTGAACATGCTGAACACAACATTCTGTCAAGTAAGAGCTTGATTGTTTATTATTCACAATATGTGAATACAAATGGTTTTTTCCCCTTGTTTTAGACCATGTATGCTAACTTAGGGAAACACAAGTTGTGAACAAACTAGTACTAAGTACTTATGTTCCCTCTCCAGATCATTGCCCCAACATTGTTTTTAGTTACATTATGTGGTATATCTTAACTGAATCAGGACATTGAATAGAAAATGTGTGTACAGCTGATTGGAATTTCTGGCTTACGAGACAAATACACACAGTACCTTATCTTATCATCTGCATATAAAACAATGCCTCGCATACAGTAAATACAACTAAAATGGTAATATCACATTTTCATCGACCAAGTTTGTTAACACATTGTTGTGTTTGGCCGCGCACATATCAATTTTCCTGAAACTTGTACCCAAGACTAGGGAGATACGCATTATACTCAGTTGTGCATTCCACACAAGAAAGGACAGAATCTACTACATTGTACATTCTGCTAATGATCAATAAATCAATAATCACCTTGACATAATTAAAAAACAAACAACAGAAGTATCAGAAGAAGAATGTTTCATTCATCAGGGCTCGAAAAATTCACTTGTCCTTTCGTATTGATGAGTGGCAGCACGTGCAGGGCGAGAAGAAGTGAATCCCATCCTACCGTGTGATTCTACATTTCAATCGTTTCTATTCATCTCTAATCAAATTCAATAAAAGACCATATTTTATTGAGTATAGTACGCACCCAAGTATAATGCGCAAATCCCTCTGGGAGATTCAGTATTTAGGAAATTAAGAATGATTGTCAACATTAAGACACCTTCTCCGCATACCAATCAGTGAACTGTTTTTGGTTCAACTACTTTATTGTCTTTAAACTACCTTAATGCAAGTCGACAGAAAAAAAATATAAACTGTGTGTTGTTTTTAGGAAAACACCGTGTATTGTTTTTACGGAAGTGCTCTACTCAGCGCTAATAAACGGTGCTATTTATGTTTCATTGGATAATTTCAGGTAAGATTAAGGTAAGGATATACCACTGTTGATGGGGTGGGGGCAGTCGCATTGATATTGAGTCGCATTTTTGGCAAGGGGGTCAGCAGTTGCATTAATTTGGAGATGCATTAATTTCAAGGTTTACAGTGTATTAAAATTATAATAATCATAAGCATGACTTCTGTACAGGTGGTAGCTATTGCCGGAATGTTTTTACGTATGGAACAACGAGACAAGTCACTGTAGACGCTCCCGTGCTCTTTATCGCGAAAAGTGTATGTTGACATATTATATTCAAACTACAACAAATGAGTCAAAAGACTTTTAATGAGTCAAAGTATGACATTTATGATATATATATCCACTCTCTGTCAAATAAAGTTTGTTTCAAGATGTCAATGGCTGTAATCTGACCATGATTACTGTAAATAATGTTGAGTTGTGCAGTCTACCAATCACTTCACAAATGATTTCGCCAAAATAAATGTAAACAATATTGAATGAGTGAGTGAGTTATGATTTAACGTCACATCGGCAATATTTCAGGAATATCGTGACCAATATTGAATGAAATTTTGGTACACATGCATTATACCGGGCACATCCACCATGTTTGATGCTACTCATAAAGCCGACGTGACAGCTCATGTACTTTATACCTGAAACCATGGTAACATTCCAGTTCATATTATCACAAATGAATTTAAAAAATCAAGTTATCAAGTGACTGAGTGAGTGGTTTTGGTTTGAACAATATATCAGATCTGTTATGGAGTGTCAGCTTGATGTGGGAGGTATGGTGCTGACAAACCTAGAATCATAATCAGAGGGAACCAGGATTAGAACCAACGATCACAAGTTTCTGGCATGCCTAAGGGATGCAACTCTGCAAATTGCAAAAACAAGTTATCAAGACAAACAGACAATCCAGTCATTGATATTGTGAGCAACAATCCATGTCGTCTGGGTACAATGGCACACAATCAACAAAGTCACCTATCCATCTTATGATAGGTTGGTGGGGATCTATTCTAACCTATTCAAACCCCACGGTTGTATGGGTTCTGAATGACACAAGTCCAACATGCAAGGACTGCCTCTCATCCGAGCCTAGCACCTCTCTAAGATGTTTACCTCATGGTTGACGGAATGGTTGAAGATATACAGCTCTGCACCAGTGTCCAGCCACGACCGTTGGGTTACAAAGTCTCGGTTCCTCACTGGAGGGGGGCACCGAACTGAAAAATTAAACATAGGCATTTAGAAGTGATGAGAATTGATGGGTGTCAACTTTTTTATTAGGAGGAACATAACGTTTCGGAGTATATGCTTACTCCTTCATCATAATAGGATGCTGAGAGCATATATATGTACATATACATGATATATAGACAAAAAGAGTAATAAGTGGAAATATTAACAAGCAAAGCCAATAGTTACTTAGTGCTTACTGGTAATAAGCAATGGACACATAGACATGATAGAAGGCAGGGGGTTAGTTAGCACTGATCAGTTCTATTAAAACACATCTGTGACGTCATCCTATTGTTTGAACGCTCCATTATTTTTCAGGAATGGAGAGTTGTTTGTCAACTATACTATACATTATCTTGAACCAACATTTGAATTAATTTCCACTTGGAATAGGCGGAACTATTTTTTACATTTATTGACAAGTGAATAATTTCATATTTTTTCCGAAAACATGTGTTGCAAGCAGGGTACAAACCCGCATCATTTGATTTGAGAACCTGTAATTGTCAACCTCAGCTACGGCGGCACATGAAGGTATGTTGTGAAATTAACTATTAAATATTTTCATAATTTTGCATAGTGCTCTGAAGCTCAAAATAATATGCATATAGCTTGTGTTAGAGCAGGTTACCTACAACAATGTTCATATTTATAGCAATAAGATAAACCTTTGACGAGAAAAAAAATATCAGGTAATATATATATCTTTGTTCGGGGCTCTATAGTTCCTATTATTCCTGTCAGCATGTATTGACAATGTGAAAGCGATTGATAAATACTAGTTTAGGACCCAACGAAATTATGAAGAGCCGTGAACTATGCATTGTAAATGTCAGCTCGCGATGGAGCTTGGGGCACGTGCAACAGCGGCAGAGAACGCATTCCTTGTGCATCGCGCAAGGTCGACTCACGCAGTAAAAATACAACAAAGAGTTCTGGTTTATTTTTAAAATATTTTCCACAACATAATATTTTGTCAAAGTGTAAAAGTAGGGATGAGTTTTAAGTAGCCTCTTTTAAGCCTTTTTAAGGAATGGAGAGTTACTCGGACATTCCCGTCTACATCTACTCCAGGCTTTCTTAGTTATCTTAATACTTTTGTTGTTCTTACATGTACATATATACATATCTCAGCAACCTAGCATTTATGGACCTGATGAAGAAGTAAGCATTGAAACGTTGAAGCGTTGTTCCTCATAATAAAGAAGCTGACATCCATAAATTCTCTTTCAATACACTTTCAAGGCATTTAGATGTTGGATATCCATTGAAATATCATAATATAACCAAAGTTCAAAATTCTTAAAATTCAAAAGGCACCACTAGAACTTGATCAACATGTACGCAAAGACATCTTGCTCAAACAAGTGTCAAGAGAGGAAGAGTTGGGTTCAACGCCACTTTGAACTTATTTCATGAATATCATAGCATTGTCAGCTTGATGTTGACAGGAAGTCCAAAGTTCTTCAGGCCTTGCATATTTACAATGACATGATCTAGTTCTCATGATTAATCAACTGTTCACCTTTGAGTTTTTTAGAGGCACCATCTGCTCATGTAGGAATGTTTGAAAACCCCACCATTTGACAGTTTGGATCATGATGCAGATATGGAAAGGCGTCATTGAAAAGGGAACCAATATAAATGTTTGTTGTGGTTTAAAACAAATTTGAGACTGGTTATTCTCTGGCATTGATGTTTTATATTATGTTTAGGGTAAGGTGCATAAACAAATAATCTTTTTATTTGAAGTTTACTCGATATATTGCTTTTCCATTGGAAGAGAAGCATGTCACATGACTGTAAAACTGATGTTCATAAGGGTACGAACGGCACAATTCGACATTCATACATTTTTCACAATATTGTACTCGATCGTCTTGAAATGACGTAAACACTGACGGACTACTTCCACATTCCTGGGGAAACCACTGGAAATTCCCTTGCACGAATACATACAACAGCGTTGATTCTTGATCATTTAGACCCTTTAATCTTGGACTCAGCATTTTAGCATACATTGAGAGATGTCAGACACTTTGACTGCATGATCGTTCACGAATATCCTCGCCATGATCCATCCCAGCTGACCGACATCTTTTTTGTTATTTCTGACAACTCAGCAGACAAACAATCCTTAAACAATTCCAATCTTCTAGGAATTGTAGCAATAGTGTCTCTCCATTAGTATCCAACTATCAGCACATGCTACATAAATTATTCATTGAATGACTGAACATGCTGAGAGGAGTATATATTGTTAGCATTGGTATACATTTTATTTATACCCCACTTTCAGTCATGTTGCCATGGTTTCTTATGTTTATATAGTACTTAAGTAATAGTAGATGTATTGAACAATACATCTCTCCTTTTCAGTGTAGGTTCACAATAATACCCCTACTATTATCTTATGGTGACATGCCAGGATTATTTACTAGAATGCCTTCCTACCATTCCACATATGATCCAAAAGTGATGATGAAACAGGTAAACATTGAAACTGATGTTTGTAGTTGTTTGTTGTTTAATGCCGCACTCCGCAATATTCCAGCTATATGATGGCGGTCTGTAAATAAACTAGCCTGGACCAGACAATCCAATGATTGATATCATGAGCATCAATCCTCGCAATTGGGATCGATGACATGCATCAACCAAGTTAGCAAGCCTGACCACCTAATCCCGTTAGTGGCCTCTAATGACAAGCATAGTCGTCTTTTACGGCAAGCATGGGTTGCTGAAGACCTATTCTATCCCAGATCTTCACAGAAACTGATGTATGATTATAACATTTGATTGTCAAGACACTGACATCACCACTTTGCTCTCTGAGCTGAGCTTGTTTGCTTCTTGTTTAATGCCATAATCAGCAATATTCCATCTATATGACATTGGTCTGTAAATAATCAAGTCTGGACCAGAGCGATATTGTGAGCACCAATTCATGCCGTTGAGGTACAATGACCATGATGACACATAAGTGTTTTCAATCGGTTTCATTTTGGACGAGTCTACACCCTTAGATAAACATAACTTTCATTGTGAAAATATCCGAAAACGTGAAAAACTATTTCCATTTGTGTATCCTCCACATGTTGTCATCTAAGCCTCAGTGAGCTAGTGATATGGTCACTTTGATGTGTTAAGCCATATTGTCATACACCTCACTGTCGCAGTTGTAGTAGTATGTCAAAATAATTATGCAAAACGATATGTAAAGCACACTGAAAGGCTTTCATTAGGCCCATCTGTTCTTATTTCAGAAGGAGAGAAAAGTCGGGTCATGTGATAAGCCTACACACCGGGGTGTGGTCACTGGAGCAGAAAATTCTGTCGAGGAATAAGGCAAGCAGAGCCGTGTAAGCTCGCGGGGGGGTCGGGGGGGGGGTATTGTTTACAAAGTTTCAGAACGGTTGATGTCCTGTCCATTTAAGAGGGGTAAGTGGTAAGTTCTAAGCCTCACATAGAAAGACTTGACCTAAAGACATCAAAATATGCAGGGTTAGAAATTGGCACTAGTCCTATAGTCCTTGCCAAACTGCCCAATGGTAAAGGTATCATAAGGACTAGTAGAAAATTGCCATTTTTAAGGGTTTTGCTATATGTTATCATTATAAGGACTAGTGGACGAAAACTGTCAGTTTCTAACGCTGATATGTTTTTCAACATAACCACCTTCCACATTGATACACACACCTTCTCTTGGCTGTCCAAAAACGTTCTACACAGCTGCTATGACATCATCTTTCAAGTCTAAATGGGTTTCTGTTTGAGCTTTGTTTATGTTTGGTGACTGATAGATGTCTGACGGAGTCAGATCAGGAGAATAAGATGGGTGCTGAAAGAGCTCATTGTCCTGATGAGGAGCACACCTTTTCTCAGCTTCCCACGTCTCAAAGTCTCAATTTCATCCTGTAAATGCAGCATAATATGCTCTGTTTATTGTCTGGGCTTTTTGGAAGATGACAGCTCCAGCATCTCAGAACATGAAGGCAATTTCCAGCTAATGTGACAGTCTTTACCTTCTTTGATGCTGGTGATGTCAAATACTTCCACTGTTTCGCTTTCTGTATCAGCTTCAAATAGAGCCACATTATCTCAAGATATGTGCCTGGTGGTTTTTTTATCAGATGTCAAAAGCTTTGGAACCAGGCAACTGAACTCGTAATATAACACTCGCCATTTGCCGGCTGGTCATCGCCGTATCATCTAATCTCCAAAGCCAAAGATTTCACTACTAAGTAATTCCTTCTGTGTGAAACTGAGAACGTACATGCTAATCAATCAACCCTTGTACCATGGATACCACTGCTAACACTGCATCTGTGACTTGCACATACTGTACAGATGCATGCAGCTAGTGTCAGCAGTGTGTTATTTGATCTTCAATGCACCTGGCGTCATCAACAGTCACAGTAACTGGGACAGTTCACAGTCTGGCACATGCTCTGGACACAGACATCTACACACGTCTACTCTTTCATCTTTTATTATTAAATTTATTCATATATATCTAATTTATCTTTTGTAGTCTTAACCTGGTAATTCCATCAAATGTTATAACCATCAGTAATTCAGGCATAACACTTACAAGTATTCGAATGTTCCTGGAACCATAAGCTGAGGATTTTTATCAAGTTGATAAGAAAGATATAAAGGTAACAACCTCTACTACCCCATGGGGATACCGGGTTAGAATATGTCCCCAGCAATCTGTGCTGGTCGTAACCCCATGGGGATACACGGTTAGAATATGTCCCCAGCAATCTGTGCTGGTCGTAACCCCATGGGGATACACGGTTAGAATATGTCCCCAGCAATCTGTGCTGGTCGTAACCCCATGGGGATACCGGGTTAGAATATGTCCCCAGCAATCTGTGCTGGTCGTAACCCCATGGGGATACACGGTTAGAATATGTCCCCAGCAATCTGTGCTGGTCGTAACCCCATGGGGATAGCAGTTTAGAATATGTCCCCAGCAATCTGTGCTGGTCGTAACCTCATGGGGATACCCGGTTAGAATATGTCCCAAGCACTCTGTGTTGATCGTAACCCCATGGGGATACCCGGTTACAATATGTCCCCAGCACTCTGTGTTGATCGTAACCCCATGGGGATACCCGGTTACAATATGTCCCCAGCAATCTGTGCTGGTCGTAACCCCATGGGGATACCCGGTTAGAATATGTCCCCAGCAATCTGTGCTGGTCGTACACCCATGGGGATACCCGGTTAGAATATGTCCCCAGCAATCTGTGCTGGTCGTAACCCCATGGGGATACCCGGTTAGAATATGTCCCCAGCAATCTGTGCTGGTCATAACCCCATGGGGATACCCGGTTAGAATATGTCCCCAGCAATCTGTGCTGGTCATAACCCCATGGGGATACCCGGTTAGAATATGTCCCCAGCAATCTGTGCTGGTCGTACACCCATGGGGATACCCGGTTAGAATATGTCCCCAGCAATCTGTGCTGGTCGTAACCCCATGGGGATACCGGGTTAGAATATGTCCCCAGCAATCTGTGCTGGTCATAACCCCATGGGGATACCCGGTTAGAATATGTCCCCAGCACTCTGTGCTGGTCGTAACCCCATGGGGATACCAGGTTAGAATATGTCCCCAGCACTCTGTGCTGGTCGTAACCCCATGGGGATACCCGGTTAGAATATGTCCCCAGCACTCTGTGCTGGTCGTAACCCCATGGGGATACCCAGTTAGAATATGTCCCCAGCACTCTGTGCTGGTCGTAACCCCATGGGGATACCGGGTTAGAATATGTCCCCAGCAATCTGTGCTGGTCGTAACCCCATGGGGATACCCGGTTAGAATATGTCCCCAGCAATCTGTGCTGGTCGTAACCCCATGGGGATACCGGGTTAGAATATGTCCCCAGCAATCTGTGCTGGTCGTAACCCCATGGGGATACCAGGTTAGAATATGTCCCCAGCAATCTGTGCTGGTCGTAACCCCATGGGGATACCGGGTTAGAATATGTCCCCAGCAATCTGTGCTGGTCGTAACCCCATGGGGATACCCGGTTAGAATATGTCCCCAGCAATCTGTGCTGGTCGTAACCCCATGGGGATACCGGGTTAGAATATGTCCCCAGCAATCTGTGCTGGTCGTAACCCCATGGGGATACCAGGTTAGAATATGTCCCCAGCAATCTGTGCTGGTCGTAACCCCATGGGGATACCCGGTTAGAATATGTCCCCAGCAATCTGTGCTGGTCGTAACCCCATGGGGATACCCGGTTAGAATATGTCCCCAGCAATCTGTGCTGGTCGTACACCCATGGGGATACACGGTTAGAATATGTCCCCAGCAATCTGTGCTGGTCGTAACCCCATGGGGATACCCGGTTAGAATATGTCCCCAGCAATCTGTGCTGGTCATAACCCCATGGGGATACCCGGTTAGAATATGTCCCCAGCAATCTGTGCTGGTCGTAACCCCATGGGGATACCCGGTTAGAATATGTCCCCAGCAATCTGTGCTGGTCGTAACCCCATGGGGATACCGGGTTAGAATATGTCCCCAGCAATCTGTGCTGGTCGTAACCCCATGGGGATACCAGGTTAGAATATGTCCCCAGCAATCTGTGCTGGTCGTAACCCCATGGGGATACCGGGTTAGAATATGTCCCCAGCAATCTGTGCTGGTCGTAACCCCATGGGGATACCAGGTTAGAATATGTGCTGTGCTGGTCGTAACCAGAGCCAAGATCACTTTGAACGGGACCGGGACCCCAGGGACCTATTCCAAACCAGGGCCCTAGGAGTCCAAAGACTGATTAACATGGTAGAACCCAAAATAAAATGTTCAAGCAGTGTTATGTTGGCAGAATACTTAATATGGAGTTATGTCGTCTCATCACTGCTCATAGAGGGTCGGTCCATAGAGTTTATGGACTATCATTACCTGAGCTTACAAGGCAACACAGAATTTCACTAGACTTGTGCTTCTGACTAGTGGCTAAAGACACAGACTTTTATTTTAGTAGGGACAAAATGTCAAGTAGAATGTTGTTCTTAAATTCACCCTGGTCATATGCATCAAACCAGTTGACACTGTGCCAAACACTAGTTAGTCAACTAGCCCAAGTTTGGCTCTTAGTATCATATTTAGCATGTAGATTTTAGTGTTATTATACATGTTACATGGACTATTAGCATTGATTACTAGGCCAAACTGCACTTTATTAAACTGGCATCAGACTAGTGGCCAAAGTTGCAGTGAGTGAGTATGGATTTACTCTGCTTTTAGCAATATTCCAGCAACATCACGACGGGGGACACCAGAAATGGGCTTCTCCGATTGTACCCGTGTCGGGAATTGAACCCCGGCCTTTGATGTGACAAGTGAACACTTTACCTACCAGGCTACCCCACTGCCCTGCTAAAGTTGCAGACTGAAAAGGCCTAATATAACAACCAGGGAAATGGGTCCAGTTCTCTGTTTGGTTAAGGAAAAAGCTGAATCTGGAGAGAGAAATCTATAGAAAACCATGGTAACCATGGCAACAGATCCAATCTGTTCAGGGAGGGTTTAGAAGTGACAAGTCCTTGGATTTACTACATATTTAGTAAACACATTCAAACTCTCTTTTTAACATCAGCAAACATGGTGTAGCTTTCAAAATATTTTGTGTTTGTTTGTTTATTTATTTCAGTGGTAAGTGCTTGCTTGAATTATGAAAAAAAGTGATAAATTCATAAAGTCAGAGGAACACTAAGTATTTTAATCATCTTACTTGCATAGTAGCCAATGTCATTGAAAGGGTTAATGACGCAGATCTCGTAGCCTTCCAGCATTGTTTGATCCCAAGTCTTCCTGTACAGTGGATCGTGAAGGACATCATACAATGTTGAGGCATCAATGTCGTCAAATATTGTGCGAACCTACAAAAGTCATAACATGCTATAATCATATTGATATAATACTTGGCTTTTTTAGATAATAATAGACATTCTTTGTGATGCTGTTCAGCAATAAATATTTCCATGACACTGTAGCTCACCTGGATATGTTGCCAACAGTGTAAAATGTCAACAAAGACAGACACTTAACATGCTTAACAAAAGTTGCTGTCAGCGTTGACATACAAATATTTTCTACATAAATTATAACTGACTAAAAATCAAATAATTTGTACAAAATATGTCACCATAAACATAATAAAGAGTTCAGCTCCCTCAGTGTGGCAATTTCAGAGAAGATGTTACAATGCAAGTATGCATTATGTGAGAATTCAAGAGCCAATATAAGGTTGCAGACATACAGAAAATCAGATTTGAACCTCTTGAAGAAATTCACATGTTATCACTGGTGGGTATATGCATGTGATGTCTTGGCTTCATTGGTTCAATGATTTTGGAGAAGATGATCTTTTCAGAAGGAGGAATTGCATTTTGAGAGACTTTAAGAGCTGTGCAAAAGTCAAAGCAGGGTAAACAAATTTTTGTTAATACAAAACACGGAATACAGAAGTTGAGCACCACTAGTGACTACACATGTACCCAATTTTCATTACAATTTGATCAAAAACGGAAGAGTGATGGCCATAAGTATGTTTTTTCAATATGGTTGAACATGTGGAATAAATTAGGGTGTCATCATTGGTGGGAACCAGTGTGTGAAGTTTCAGCTTCACTGGTCCAGTGCTTTCTGATGACAAGGTGTTCATGACACATGACGGACGACAGATGTCAGACAAGGCACACGCTCACTTGACTCTCACTTGAGATAATAAGTATAAAGCTGCACAGACAATTACAGACATTGTAAATATTTTAACATTTTCATCATTAACATCATTCATTTTAGCATTTAACATTTTCATCAGTATTTGTAATAGTAACAAATACAAAATAAGCGCTATATATATAGATATAAAAATAAAGAAACTTGAAAATTGTGCGTCAACATGTGTCAGTATAATATAAGATGTTGAAGAATAAATTTATCTCAAACAACTTTTGTAACAATGGTAACCATGGAAACTAACTCATCAACCTGTAGAACATTTCCAATAAAACCTTTGTGTCAATATGGTCAAGTGTCATGGCAATTTAAATACTAATAATTGTTATATAAACATGATGGAAAAACTAAGAAATGAAATTTATATTCGAAAATTATTATGTATATCCACAACTAGGAAAATACCTGCCCATGGACTACCATTATTAATCAGGATAAATAATCCTGTCTACATGTAGTACACAATGTAAACATTTTCACGAATATGTATACCCCTGGTATATATCAAATTTATCCTAACTAGGATAAAAGGAAGGATGGGAACAATCCAGTTTCTCTCGGGAATATCATCTATTATTGTCCGGGAATATTATCTATTATTTTGTTTTCAAATTTATACAAGCACTGGTATGTGAAATTAAATTCATTAAAACGATGATAAATATCCTATTTATAACCCAAGCAGCTGGTGCTTGTGGAGTCGTAGTGACATTCATCAAAACATGATTCGAATGATCCAAACAGTTCTATGTCATGGGGCTGAGTAGGCAAACTGTGGCAGGGGATCTCAGCAGGCCCTCACTATAAAACCAGCATTAGTCTGAACAGCACAAGTGGCCACATACACACACATGTCCCCTTATAAATGCGATAATCTTAAATGGGACATTAAACCTCATTTTACTTTAGGTTATGAATGTGACATTTGCATGTTGCCAAAATCAGTCATAACTGATGGTAACTTTCAACATGTTCACTGTACAACATTACAGTAATTCTACCATATCTATCATTTCATTGTTTTCAATGCAGAGCATGTGATTCCTATCAGTAGGAATGATTTCAAATCCAATAATAGCTGACAAGCCCCAACCTTGTCACCAGAAGTTACACCTTTTAATAACCAAAATATTTTGAAAAGGGTGAATAAGGGGTGAGCGAATGTTGTTACCATGGTTACCTGTGGTAAGATAATGTAACTGCCAAATTTGATTGGTTTATGAAAGTTTGAAACAATACCTGTTTGGGGAATTGGTCAAACATAGAAAAATCTATTAATGATAATGATTGAGGTTAATGTTGGTTAATGTCTAAAATGTCTGTGCTCAAATTGAGCTCCAATGCTTTTGCAAAGTGTTGTTAATTTCAGATTTAAAGGTGTAATGAGAAATTGTGCATAGTAATTTCTTACATCTCACCCCATTTGCATGTGTTATGTGAAATACAATAATTTTCAAATTTATTCACTGTGGATTTACAAGTTAACCACATCATTTTCGAGTTACCACAGTTATATTTTACATTATTACTAGCTTCCTCAAACTCACCATGCTCGGAGTATACATTATATCATAGCATGCAAGAGTGAGTGAGTGAGTATGGTTTTACACTGATTTTAGCAAAATTCCAGCAATGTCATGGCGGGGGACACCAGAAGTAGGCTTCACAGATTGTACCCATGTCGGGGATCGAACCTGGGTCTTCGGCACAACGAGCGAACGCTTTAACCACAAAGCTACCCGACCGCCCCTCATAGCATGTAAGAACAAACATTATCACAACACAACACATCTGCAAGGAAATAAATTGCACCAGGCCTTGAACCATGTCCGATATCCAATTCTTGATGCTTAATAAAATATTCTTTATCCCTTTCATCATGTGAATTGGAAAATAAATCAATAATGCCTTTGTTGTTGGATGCACAGAGCCATAATCATGATAATAGCAAGTCAAATACATACTATGGGCAGCTGTTTCAACATGTGCTCACATCAAATCAGTATTTATTAGCTGGCATGCAGATTTGAATCAACATTAAGCCTAGGAAATACAATTTTGTAATTTTAAGCAGTGTAAATAAGGGAAAGAGTTGTTATATTGTTGTCAAAGGCACAGTGTTGGAAATAAGCCTGGGACGGGTAACTTGGGTCGGGTGGGTCCTGACTAGGACCCGGGTACCCACAGGACTACCTGAACACGTGGTTAGTCATGTGATATATTGTTTAATGACAAAAATTATCTACAACTCTATAGTTACACTATAAGTCACTAATGTTCCCATTTCTTTCTGACAATGCACCAATTCCTTCTGACTTTCATATGTTTGAATAAAGATAAAACTTCAGTGTATGCATGACTAGATCATTTTACATGTGTATCTAAATACATTTTGCCAGGGCTAAGGTCAAACTTTTCCATATCGGACAGTTTGTACCTATCTCTTAATATCTACAACGGGTACCCGGGTAGGGTCAGGTAATAGGGTGGTGGGTACCCGGGTCGTAAATTTGGACTCGTCCCAGCCCTAGTTGGAAACTATATTCATGATAATGTGGTGAGGTCAAATGAGCATTGATCAGTTGATGGGGTTTAACGTTGCATTTAAGTTTATTGCATACACTGCATGTTGAGCCCATCAGTATATGGGTACCATTTTGGTAGGTCACGTATCAATAGAAGACATATATTCATTTGATATTAGTATCAACATTAGCAGTGTTCATTATAACCGGAATACCGCTATATCGCAATACAACCCTTGTGTATTGATCATGTTGATATTTTCTGATAGTCCAAAAAAAGTAATATATAATTATATAAATAATATCTACTAACATGAGGCATTTGGATGGACTGGGTTCCTATATAAACCATTTAAACAGCACATGCTTGATGCTGTTTACATTAAGATTCCATATTGATGACTAAAGAGGTAGTCTTGTTTATCCATACTACCCATCTTCCAATTTGAAGTCTGGATTATTGAATGAAGAAGTACCATTTGAACATGTTGAACAGTACAAATATATTTATCATGCCTTCATGTCAGAATGATGAGATCTGATTGGTCCACGTGATCTTGATAAAATACTATGTATCGATCCTTGAAGGGGAATACTTTTCTCAGTGGGGAAATAAATCTCTTATACCCCAACCTATGGCAGGTCAGGGGAGAGACAGAATAAATCCCTATACCCCACCTCAAAGCAAAAGGCGGCACGCTTTTTCTGAGTTACCGGTAATGAAAGTCATGTGGCATAGTGCAAGCTTACTCCAGCTCAATTAAACAGCTGTTTTCTATCAATATTTAATTTGTTTAAATTCTTTAACAATGTCATATTAAAACATGTTGGTTACATAAATTCATTGTAGCAGGATCACTCAGCGTACAATGGTTTTTATACGAGCCAGATACAAGAGGTATAAAACCTAACGTGGGATGCATAAAACCCCATATTCCCCTCATGATCCTGCTACAAATTATAATAATTTGTGCCCAAATATGTATTGAAAAATGTATCACAATACCGAGAGCTGTATTGCGATATATTGCAATATGATTTATGTGCCAATACACTCACCCTAACAAACATGATGATAAACAATAAACATGCTGTCCTAGACACTGTCTTATGGACTCAAATCAAGTAAACCTGTTTCAGTTGGGTTCATTTTCTTTGATAATGGAAACGTTTCCTCAACATGTCACATGTTGAATTTCACATTGTATAGTATCATGTTATTAGTGAGAATAGTATTCTATCGCAACAAAGTGTATTGTTGCCATGGTTACAGCCCGACATGGAGGAGTTCCATATATCTTTTGTAAATAGGAGCGAGGTACTGCTCCCATAATGCAGCTGCAGAGTGGAATTCACTTCTTGTAGATTTAAGGTCCCTTTGAACAATTCCAGAATCAGCTAAAGACACACCTGTTTCCTTTGACTTTTAAATATTAATACATATTGACATTTATGTGCTTTGAGCACATTTAAGTGTAGAGGTTAGCACCATATAAGAGGCCATAATTATCATCATAACATGGATTATTACATCACTGGAGATTTGATGCTTTGGTTGTCAGGTTCACTCAAAATGACTACAATTGTCTGTGTGTCCAGGGGGCACTGGTGACCTAGTCATCTAAGGCACTGCAATTAACTTTGTAGAATTACACTCCAGCAGCATCTGATCTGCATGCCAGAAACTTACCACTGCTGGTCTGCATCCTGGTCCGCCCTGACTATGCTCCAAGTTTTTTACAGACCCATACCTGTGCTGGTGGGTTTTAAAAAAGTGGTAACATCTACAAGATCGAACGCCTTCATCACTTTTAACTTCCCCCCACAAGCTGATATGTTGTGATAAAACTGAAATACTGTTCAAAGCAGTATCAAACCAAACTCACTCAGCCTTTGTGTGTCCTGATTGTCACATCTGACTTCCTCCACTATGAAGCCAGACCATTGTTCATTGTTCGCACACATCCTCTTAAAAACCAGTCATTTATCAAACATGATAAGTCAATTAACAACAATGCACTTCCTTATTCGTGTTATACATGCAATACACTAGATCAGACGATACAAGCTATATATCCCTTATACACTAGATCAGACGATACAAGCTATATATCCCTTATACACTAGATCAGACGATACAACTTTCAAGCTGTATATCCCTTATACACTAGATCAGATGATACAAGCTATATATCCCTTACACACTAGATCAGACGATACAAGCTATATATCCCTCATACACTAGATCAGACGATACAAGCTATATATCCCTCATACACTAGATCAGACGATACAAGCTATATATCCCTTATACACTAGATCAGATGATACAAGCTTTACATCCCTCATACACCAGATAGGATGATACAACCTATATATCACTTATACACTAGATCAGATGATACAACCTATATATTCCTTATACACCAGATCAGGCGATACAACCTATATATCCCTTATACACTAGATCAGACGATACAAGCTATACATCCCTCATATACTAGATCAGATGATACAACCTATATATCCCTTATACACCAGATCAGACGATACAAGCTATACATCCCTCATATACTAGATCAGATGATACAACCTATATATCCCTTATACACCAGATCAGACGATACAAGCTATAGATCCCTCATACACTAGATCAGACGATACAAGCTATATATCCCTTATACACTAGATCAGACGATACAAGCTATATATTCCTCATACACTAGATCAGACGATACAACCTATATGTATCCTTGCTAGTGGCACACACCTGTAGACATATTGTGATCAGACGATACAACCTATTGTAGATCAGATGATACAACCTATATGTATCCTTGCTAGTGGTACACACCTGTGGACATATTGCGTTGTATAAACATCTGTCAAACTGATGGACAGTTTTACAACAGGAACAAAACATGAAGGATTTTACTCCTCACCACAAAGGATTGGATGTACATGTAATTTCTTCTGGTGCATGTGTTTAGTTACAGCACTGTAATGTCATTCAAGAGCATTCCTTCTCCATGTCCTTCATCAATGTAAAATGGATCACTGGGAAACATCACAACAGCAACAGGTACTAAAATTCTGTCTGTTCTCAGACATTGTACTTTTCATCATGAAATTGATAATGTTCATATTCTAGTTAAATAATCCACAAATTCATTAAAATGACATTCTATTGAAAGATGATCCATCACAAACTTCATTATCGAGTCATGGGTGGAAATTATTGGTCCCAATGCTGATATCTTACTGAGTTTGGTTTGTGAATCAGGTTCGAAAGTAGAATGGAATAAACTAATGAATTGCCTGCCAGGTGAGGTGTAGAATGTATGGTAATGCAATGTCTTGGGTATATAATAAATGCTCTAGGTCAAAACAATAACCAGTTTGTTTTCCTGGGGACTGACATATTGTTTTAGAAAATTTGTTCCAGTTTTGTTTTCAATCTCATGTACATGATGTAAATCTGTAATGCTTACTAAAAATCGCTTTCAATGAAATAAAGAATACATATTTGGGGGTAAGTGATTAAAAATGATTTAGAAATAGAAGTATGATTATTAGTGAATCAGAGATGTAGGAGGTGCACTGTAATTTATCTTTCACCGCATATTGGCAGTCTAGACTTTTCTTCCAGGATAATTCATAGTCCCAAGTAGTAACATATATTGCTGTATACCCTGTACTGGTACTGCTATATTAATTAATATTGTTGTAACAACTAACAGGTGTAACTGTAATTTACAAGGCGCTATTAAGAAATAGTAATGTTACCCTGTTGACTGATTGCTGATAGATGACAATGGTAACTATAATAGAAATAAAGAATAAATGAATATCACCAATGAATAAAGCATATATACTACTACATAAATAATTCTTATTGTTAATAAACATATGAGGTGCCGTTTTCCCACGACAATCAGTTCCTGTTTTCACACGTGAGGTGTCGTTTCCACCAGAGGAAATTGGAGCTGTTTTGCTGAGGTGCCGTTTTAGCCCGCACCAACCATGCCTACCGATATGAATAGGCATATATGTTTTGAATCACCCATCCCTTGAAATGCCAGCAATGTCGTCATAAGAATTAAAATAGGACATGGGCACATGAAGATAGAAAAACTGATATTAAACAATGAACAGAAAAGGGGTTACGGTAACCATAGCTACGGGACAGGGATGTACATTGATGGTAGGTAAGTACAGAAATGTACCACAACAGGCATAACTATGGCCATATGTAGAATTAACTTTCCTAATGATGAGCAATGGGAAACAATTCCTCTACCCTTACGAAAGTACATAACAACTCTCATATCTATATAAACACCGGTTATCATGTAGACTGGTCTGAGTCAAAACAGTATTATAATTTCCAGTAAACGCACACATGTCACGGAGTCCAAATCAAAGGAGTGATTGTCAGGTTAATCACTATACATAAAAATGACTCACCTTAACCATTTTGAAATTTGACACATCGTTTGTTTTCGTCCACACCGTCGTGCTCTGTTTATTGATTTCTAGTTTCCAGTCAGAATGATCGTCACACATCGTTTGAAGTTTTCTGAAATCGGCATCTTCCGCCACCCTCACCTCGCCGATTTCCATTTTGAGGTATCTTGAGGTTACCTATTTGATATATTCTTGCTTTGCCAAATGCTAACCCTAACTTCGGTGTCGTCGACGAGCGAGTACCTGTCAGGTGTGTTGACTCGACAGTCGCTACCGTAAACTGGTATGTATTGTCGTGTGTCAATCTGGTGTCGTAAACTACACGTCGTTTGAACTTACATTACCACATCCTTTATATTTAACTAAACCATTTCGGCAAAAGTGGACATACATAATAAATAGTTAATCAGTACAATTCTCAAAAGAACAATTTTAAGGATTGACAGTGTAAATCTGTAAATGTATAGAATCGGCCTTGACCTTGACACTCGTAGGCGACCTTCATTTTTTTCTCTGGCCCGGTTTAGGCTTGTTTCTGATGAAAGTTAGCGCTACAGCATGTACAATTAAATCAGCCATACAGTTCGAGATGGATGATCTGGAAACTGGAAATGCTGACATTGACGCAAAAGTTGACGAATGGATGCGATGGGATAGGGTAAGTGAAGTATGATCGCGAATATCTGACGTTTTGCGACATTCATTGTTGACAGTGCACAATTCTTCTCCCAGGGCCATCCATTCGTTTGTTTGGGGCGATGTAATCATTCAACAGAACATGATCGTTATTTTGCGGGTTCTATCTATACAATTCCGTCTTTCGCATAATATATCCAGATTTGACCTTTGGTGACCTGGAAAGAGTCGGAAATGACACTGCCGGAAGTTGACTAGACAAGGGAAACTGACATTTTCAGCAGAAAACACACAGATTTCTGTAGCTCCATCAACGATTCTTCAAGCAATGTTTCCAGTACATGTTTTGGATTTACTGACACAGGCTGCATGTATATATACAAACTATAGATTTAAATTACACAAACTGATTGAATTTGAAATATAAAATACTGAAAATTGGCTTGGTTTCCACAATAACCAATTGGTGAGAAAAACATGGAGCAATTCTATGATCCATGTTCTAAAAATATTATTGATCAGCCTATGAAAGGTTTTGAAATATAGAGAAATAAGGTGAAAAAACAGGCAATGGAAATTTCCCGTGGAGGTAACGAGCGCATTGCAGAGACAAGATCTGTTATATATAGCTACAAGGATAAACCGTTCAAGTTGCCTGAAGATCTACTGGATATAGTTGGTATGTATATATTTGTTTTCTACATGTTATAAAATGTTCTATTTGTTCTTGTTAAATTTTTAACATAATTGTTATCATTGTTGAGACAAGGACTTCTTGACATTCATTTTAATTTAATACATCAAAAGATGTTAATACATGTATGTGACATTTGTTGAAATTTTCTATTGTGACATAACATGCATGATACATGTTGTATATCATATGTGGTACTAATTTAGTGTTTGAAATAAATACAATTGTCAGGCTGCCATCAAGACCCACTCGACTTTAGAAGCTGCAGGCTCTTTCTAAACTCTTTAGGCCCTCATTTAAAAAACTGCAGCTTGTTATACATGTATTGTGACAAATAAATGAACACTTAAATTTACTGCAGGTCATAAGGACTTATACAACTTGAAGACTACGGGCCCACAATGACATCTGCTTGCCACTGGCCTACAGGCAGGCACTTATTTTCGAACACTGTACTGATCATGCCAGTATTAGTTAAGCACTGAATCTAAGATATGATACAATTACTGTTAATTAGACATTAACTTGATTCCAGATAGTCATAATGTTAATAATTTTCATAGTGAAACATTTGACTAATTTACAAAGAAAATAATTCAATTTTATTTCAGCAAATCCAGATATCCAGAGTGTGAGCACAAAGGCTCCCTACAGACCTAAAGCAGGAGAGGTATATATCTACCACCATGACCAGGATGAGCAGAGATACATAGATAAAAGTAAGTTATCACTTCAAATACAAAGTTTTGTTTGTTTGTGGTTTAACTGTGACTCATAATACTCCCATGTACTGTCCAATGCTCCCTTGCCCTCCTGTGGGTTGGGGTATTTCACTATGGGGAACTCAGGATCGACTCCCCCTAGAGTCATATCTTAGTTCTCGTTATCGCTAAACAAAGATCTGAGGACCTCCCTTTACGGGTCACGTCAGAACGACCTTTCATCCGACCAATCAAAGCCTCGCTTACCAGATCATGAAAGTGACAGTCGAAATGTGTTTTCTAATCATGCACCTTGAAAACGCTAACACAGGATATTCAGAACGACAGTTACGTCCCGTACGTCTGATTCCGTCAAAATTATCGTCTATCTCTTGTTTGCGTGGGATAAACATTTGAACAGAGGAGGCGTTGCACAGTACGTGGGAAGCATTGCCATACAATCGCAACGATATAAAAGACATTCCGGAATGTTCGTTCGTTCAGTTTTCAAAATTTTAATCAGGAACCGTGTCAACATATTTTTCAAACGTAGTCTGAAATGGAAGTCACCAGGTTGAAATGAGTGCCGTAAAGCTCAAGAAATGAATGATGTCGACTTCTTGTTAGTCGTTTCAGTGGGAGGCCAATGTTCGCGAAATGTCGTTCTGACGTGACCCGTAATGGGATGTCCTCAGATCTTTGTTTAGCAATAGCGAGAACTTAGATCTGATTTGAGTGAGATTGGACTTTCTCCCACCCCCACTGAAGAACCCTACCCCTTTTTTTAAAAATCCTACATCTGTCCCTGATTGTCATATTTTTGGATGACTCTCCCCATGTCCCTGTACATTTTTTTCACAACCCTCCCTGAGAAGAAAAAAGGTAAAAGCAGCTTATATTTTATTATTAAGTGTCCATTTTTATAACCCTCCTCGAGAGAGAGACCCTCTCCTTATTCCCTCTGACCAACCCAATAATAAATGACAGGTTCCAAATACGTCTGTCTGTAAATATTTGAGTCTGGACCAGACAGTCCAGCAACTGACCATCCATGAGCATCAATCCACGTAATTGGGATATGATGACATGCCATCAACCACGTCACAGAGCCTGACCATCTAATACCATTAGTCACCTTACAACAAGCATTGGTTGCTGGGGACCTATATCAAATCTGCCCTTTGCTAAAAACAACCCTTGCAATAATCTAGAGCAGTAGCTTGGTGACAAGTTCAAATAGGAATATTTGACATAGATACCATGCCACACTGTCAACAGATTCACTGGGTTGGACTTAATTTGTTTTTGTCCAACAAGGAGGCACAGGTGGCCCAGTCGTCTAAGGCGCCGCGATTCGTTGTGCAGAGTTGCGTCCCTTGGGCACGCCAGAAACCTGTGATTGTGGGTTCGAATCCCGGTTCGCCCCGATTACGTTTCTAGGTTTGTCACCACCCTACCCATGCTCGTGGGTTTCCCCGAAGTGGCAAACGTCTGAGACCTGCATCATTTTGGGCTTTCCTTCCACATTAAGCTGACGCCGCAATATAACTGGAATACTGTTAAAAACGGTGTTAAACCCGACTCACTCACTCATTTTGTCCAACGAATTCATTGTTTGATGACCGCCTTGGGTATCTGTTTACTGGGTAAATATCATGATACATGTTACGGCTGGGATAGGTAACTGGGGTACTTGGGTGGGTACTGAGTAAGACCTAGGTACCCAGAGGAATACCCGAACCCATGGTTTGTCACGTGATATAATATTGTTTAATGACAAAAATTCACTATAACTCAATAATTACCCAAGTTGCTAATGTTCGCTTTTCTTTTGGAATATGCAGACTTCCCTGACTTTTATATATTTGAATAAAGATAAAGCTTCAGTCAACTACTATTGATGACCAGATCATTTTATAAGTGTATCTGAATACTTTTTGCCAGGGCTCTGGTAAAACAATTACCAAGCAGACATTTTGTACCCAACTCTTGAGACCTACACTGGGTACCCGGGTAGGGTCGGGTAATAGGGGTCAGGTACCTGGGTAGTACATTTGGACTCTTCCCAGGCCTAATACATGTGTATAACTATAAACCAAGCTGCCTCCCTTGACATCGTAACAAGTTCTTTACTGTGCAACAATATGATAATGTCAAATATTTCGTTGAATATTTATAAAATAGTCAAAAGCATTACTATTCTCACTGTATCACTGTCAGCTTGAAGTCATTGTAGGCGTAGGGTCATTGGTTTCTAAATGCCCAATAATCTTGTCCCAAGGGAGTAAAAATATTTTAAGCAAAATTGAAATACCCAATGAGAAAGATGAGAAAGGTACTCAGTGTCTTTAAGAATTATCAGGAGCAATAATATATCCAGAAATATACCATTGTGTATCAGGGGTGAGAATTGTCCTCAGATCCGCGAATTTCCGTGAATGTTAGAGACATTAAATTTGTTAAAATCTGATAGCTTCAGTGGGGCCAAGCCACCAGGCGCCCAATAAACACCCATAAATTATGGTTCATGCTCCAGCTGAAAAGAAAAAATATCCATTCTCATCCCTGCTGTATAGTGGACAGCTGTTCCCCCCAAAATGCAGCTGTGTAGAGAGGGGTGCACACAATACATGCATAGTTCCATACAATGACTTTGATAGGTTTTTCTCAATGTAAAGACATTCCCGTAAGGGTACCATCGTGGAGGGCAAAAACCTGTAAACAACTGTCGCAGAATTATTGCCCAAACTTTTGCAGTATCATGATTGTGTTGTTGGTTATTGCAATAAAATATATAGAGGTATGACTCTATGATGGTATCTGGAAATGTGTTCGTTACAACAGTTTGACAGGGAATGGTACCAACCCAATAAGCTTTTGTTAACTGATAATGCTGGACAGAAAATGTAGTGCAAAACAAAGGTCACATTTTCATCAAAATACTAAAAAGCATTCTTCTATTTACAGAAATTTGGTTCTATGATGGCTATCGGTGGAGGAACAAAGGCAAGCATATGTACCCCCAGCATTCACCCTTGTTTGAGAAAATCTATTTCACAACTGCCAGTCACGACACAGATATTGTTGGCTTCCGTCGCTGTGTCTATATCCCGATCAACAAGGAACTGAAATACATGGTTGTGCATTACTTTGGAACTGCATCTTCCCCGGAGCTGGTTGCTTTTGTTAAAAGCATTAAACTATCAACTGGCCCCGATACAGCTAGGTTAGACAGCAACAACTCTCTAATTAGTGACAAGATGAACATTTCTGCTTTCACAGCTAGAGATGAGGGAAATTTGATGTCTCAGATAGGAGACATGTCTCTCCCATCCACATCAGGAATGGTTAAGAAATCATCATTATTGGTAAGCCTCATTCCACATAACATCCGTTCTATTGTTGACGACTCAGATGGTGCTGAAGTGGACACATGGGTAGAGAAAGAGGGTGAAAACAATTTCAAATTTAGCCAGAAAACATTTACAGATCTAATGAAAATATGTTTTGAAATGAGGAATAATGATTATTTTTGGTCCTTCAGCTCAGCTCCGGAAGTTATTCTTCTATTTGGGAGCTGTGACCTGTGTTCCGACCTCAATGACTTCCTGTTAACACGGAATGACA